TTCACTGCGGCTAAACATAAAAGCGAGCTTAGTGCTCCAAACGTCTGCCGGCCTTTTTTAAATCTTTAATGAAACTATGGTAGGCAAATTTAAAAAGATCTCCGCATAACTTAATTCAGGGCTCAGGTGTGGGTCTTTATAAACTTGACGTTGTTATATTTGACGAACATTGTCGGTAGGCTAAAGTTTCTTGTTTATTTAAGTCTTAAAAAAATGGTAGGTTTCGTCAATGTTTTCATATCAAAATGTATTTAATTCAAAATTTTAAGTGACTTCTTATTGTTTGCTATCGATAAAAGGAAGACAAAACGAAAGGAAATCTTGAGGCATATTATAAGTATGTGATCACTGAGGTAATGAAGTAAAGTGGAGGAAAATATCTTTGCTGAAATTGCTTAGAGATATTGACACAAAATATGTATAAAACATCTCAATATCTATTCTAATGATACCATCGGGATATATACGGTAGATAAATTACGTAATATCGAATGGGCACAAATCGCTTACCAGAAATTAAGTGAGAGATTATAGATATCGTCTTGATTATGGATATCGCTCGTTACATATCACTTCTGTATTTACTTATAAATATTGGTTTCTAACCTGCCATATAACTAAAAACAAATACTTGACGCGTCTTAGACATTGAATTACAGATAAATCTTGCAATTCTTAAAAAGCTTTGCAATTTAGATGAAGAGGTATTTACATTCAAAATATATTTAGAAAAAAAAAAAACTTGCATTGACACAAGTATAGAAATCAATAAATTTCAATACATTGGTAGCGTGCGTTGTATAGTGTCATCACCGTGCCTGATACCGAGCTAAATGGGGCTTGGTTGTGTGGCCAGCTAGCCATTAAATTTTGCTATATTTTTAACACATTTTTTACTCACCTATTATTGTATTTTAATTGTATTGTGTCTTTGTCATGATGAATGATAGTTCATTACTATAGCGGTTAATCGTAATATTAGTGACTAGATATCTATTGTGGAGCCTATTGCAGAAAAATTAGGTCAATGAGGTTTAGGTTTGATGATCGATCAGAATCAATACCTATCTTAGTTCGAAACTTTGATATTCGCAGTCTTATTCTTGTCTCGAACGTACTTTTCTAGTAGTTTCTTTATGGTAAAGCAGGAGATGGTATGGATTATGGTAGAGCAGCATTAGTTAAATGTCAAACTTTTCCAAGATATTTCACTGATTAATTATAAATTTTAGAGTCCTTAGCAGTCCCGGCTCATTTAAACAACCCTAAACGTCTGATATAGCTCCAACTTACTTCGATTCACATTTATTAATCCATAAGTGCACAACAACAAAGAAAATCCACAATGATTTTTTTAAACATTCCCTAACTTATCGATGCTTTTTGTAGCTCTAACAACACTGTCCTCGACATGCCCCCCACAATAGAGCTATTATCGACTTTATGATAATGATATGGTGTTTTAACGTGTATGGATTTCGACATGACAGTTAGGGAAAAATATTCATTGAATGGTTTAATATAGTAACAAGTATAATGGCGATAATAACCGAACGATTACCACTGCCTCACCTACTTCTCACCAGGACAGATGACGGTAGGAAATTCAACGGATTTCCGAATGTTATCAGTGATTTCCAGCAGGCTATCTGAGTTCTGTACGTATTACAAAACTATATTGGTATTTTTATTTATTTATTGCTTAGATTGGTGGACGAGCTCACAGCCCACCTGGTGTTAAGTGGTTACTGGAGCCCATAGACATCTACAACGTAAATTTGCCACCCACCTTGAGATATAAGTTGTAATGTCTCAGTATAGTTATAACGGCTGCCCCACCCTTCAAACCGAAACGCATTACTGCTTCACGGCAGAAATAGGCAAGGTGGTGGTACCTAGCCGTGCGGACTCACAAGAGGATTACGCAAATTATAATTTTGCAGGTTTGATTTTTATTACACGGTATTATTCCTTAACCGTGGAAGTCAATCGTGAACATTTGTTAAGTACATATTTCATTAGAAAAATTGGTACCCGCCTGCGGGATTCGAACACCGGTGCATCGCTTCAACACGAATGCACCGGACGTCTTATCTTTTAGGCCACGACGACTTCAAAAATCCGAAAACATCTCCGAAGTGAATTAAATTTTTAGAGCTTTGCAAATTTACGCAGTTATTTTGTGTAGTTTTATGACATTTTATATCGGCTATCAGCTGTATGAGTTCAGTTCGTAAAACCGTGATGTTGCTTATCGCAAGGTATTGGCGGAGTTACTGTACAAACAAACGTAACATTGGGTGAATTTTGTGGGTATCAATATTATCTTTACCTGGACTTGGCTCCAACAGAAAAATACCTTTTTTTCGTAGAAAAAAATACGCTCCTAACACTTGATTAATAACTTCTAGGACTAACAAAAATAAATAGGACTTTTTTTTTACTGTAGCCTAATATATTCCAATTATTATCAGTGGATCCACTCCTTTCAAAAATATGGGGCGCACGGGTGAATATCAGCCTACCTCTTTATGTCTCAATGTAGTGATCTGTTCAGGATTTGTTTCTATCTATTTTATTTTACGTGATTAATATTAAAATATTTTTTACTAACAGAAAAGAGCTGTTTTCCAACAAATTATTTTTATTTTATTATCATTACGGGCTTATCCATCGTTACTAAACAAAATATGGGTAATATTATTTGTTATTGCCTATGTATCTAAATCTATTTCAGTGAGAAAGTCGTTGGTGAGCATATACCAGGCTTTGTATCTTAAAGTACAACGCTTAGAAAAATGGATATCACATTCAACCTATTACAATTTATCTTCAAACTACCCAAACAACTATTTGATGAACTTTACAATTACCCCAATAACTACCCCACAACGGGGCCTCACCTACAATAAGTGTCGATCTTAATTAGTACTCCATTTTTCGGGCGGCTAATTAAACACAGGGTCGTATTGAGTGAAATACACGTCTATTTACTTAATGACTCAAATTTATTTGCGATTCGCGAATCGACCTTTGGTCTCCCATTCGTGACTTACTCTACCATGATAAGGCTAGTATACTAGCATGATTACTTAAAAATACAGCATGATTTTAATATTATCTCTTTTAATTTCGACACAGACGAAATAGATGATATTTTTTGCATATTCGATCATCAATAAATCACTTGCTGAGTTTTGCTCTACGCAAGAAAACCAAAAGACATATTGTGCTTTTTTGATGGAACAACATAATGATGATTCAATTATCAGATCAGATGATTGAATAATGATTGAATAAGATGATTAAATTTTTGNGATTTTATTATTATCTCTTTTAATTTCGACACAGACGAAATAGATGATATTTTTTGCATATTCGATCATCAATAAATCACTTGCTGAGTTTTGCTCTACGCAAGAAAACCAAAAGACATATTGTGCTTTTTTGATGGAACAACATAATGATGATTCAATTATCAGATCAGATGATTGAATAATGATTGAATAAGATGATTAAATTTTTTTTGCGTGTTCTCCTTGGCACTACAAAACAAACAATCAAAATTGAGACTGTTACTGAGGCTGTTACTGAATCCTCCGTCTCATCTCACTTACTGCAATTTACTGCACTTCTATTATTTTTTTATTGCTTAGGTGAGTGAACGAGCTCACAGCCCACCTGGTGTTAAGTGGTTACCGGAGCCCATAGACATCTACAACGTAAATGCGCCACCCACCTTGAGATATAAGTTTTAAGATCTCAGTATAGTTACAACGGCTGCCCCACCCTTACAAACCGAAACGCATTACTGCTTCACGGCCGAAATAGGCACGGCGGTGGTACCTATCGGCGCGGATTTATTCACAAGAGGTCCTACCACCGGTACTTCAGCATAATCTTAGTACCACAAAGTTCTAAGACGTTCGAAAGAAAATAAAATTAAAAATAGCGACAGACTGTTTAGTAAGATAGTTTATCTGTTTAGCAAATCTATGCCAAGACATACTAATCAAACCAAAGTTTTTTACAAACATGCCAATCTATAAATGATAAATAAAGTATCAACAAATAAATAAATAAACTTTGAAAACAGGAAATTCCCACACCACAAAATTAAGAATTGAAATACAGAATACATTATACCGTTGGCTTCACTCTGCATCATTTAGAGCATGAAATTTGTTGCCAGACTAAAATTTATGTATTTCCTAATTAATGTTCATGATGTTATCAATAATTATTTACGTAATTAAAATTCGAATGGTATTATATAATAGATTTTGTTTTTTATTGCTTAGATGGGTGGACGAGCTCACAGCCCACCTGGTGTTAAGTGGTTACTATAGACATCCACAACGAAAATGCGCCACCCACCTCGAGATATAAGTTCTAAAATCTCAGTATAGTTACAACGGCTACCCCACCCTTCGAACCGAAACGCATTACTGCTTCACGGCAGAAATAGGCGGGGCGGTGGTACCTACCCGTGCGGACTCACAAGAGGTCCTACCACCAGTAATTACGCAAATTATAATTTTGCGGGTTTGATTTTTATTACACGATGTTATTCCTTCACCGTGGGAGTCAATCGTGAACATTTGTTGAGTACGTATTTCATTAGAAAAATTGGTACCCGCCTGCGGGATTTGAACACCGGTGCATCGCTACATACGAATGCACCGGACGTCTTATCCTTAAGGCCACAACGACTTCAAATATCAATAGATGTAATAAGATATTTGAAATGTGTTTTTTTAAACGAAATATGTAATATTCAGTCGATAAAAGTGGCTTTTGTCACCGCGAGTCACGGAATTCTTAGTTAGCAGATGAGATTATGGCCTTACTTATATTAAGCGGCTGCTGTGATTAATCATGAACACCGCGATGGTTGAGACGATAAAATGTCAAATACGTAATAGCGTTGATACTGGGCTTGTTATAAGCTTTAGACTCTGTTATCTATCCATTAAGTATGTAAATTATTAAGAACTCACCAAGTTGAAATCCACAACAAAAACCTGCAACGCAAAAAAATTACATAATTAACATACATTAAAATCAGTCGCGAAAACGTCAAACATAAAAAAACAAGTAATTCGTTTCATAAAACTGTCACAAAATTATTACACTGGCGTGCAAAAAAACTGGATACTAGAAATTAGTTTGAAAAATTGTGAACCTCCCTCCTCCATTAGGAAACGCGCTTAATGTTTCGACAGTGATTAATAATAAACAAAGGCGGGGGAGCTTGAAAACCCAAAGCGAGATACAAATTTGATTTAAACTGACGCTAACCAAAACATCTTTAAAAAATGCTCCTTTAAACAAAACCTTTTCTTTGTGTACATCGGATGCTATTTCTGTGAATTAAGACTAGTGACTTTTGACCATAAACCAATGTTTGACACGGCCCACAGTATAATTAAAAATAACGAACGCACACGCGCGTTAGAGTGGGGGTAGTGTATCGGAGGTACCTTTGCTTGATACATTCTGGTTGACTCACGAAATATGACACAATGAAACGGTTTGAATGGTGGAAATGGTGGAAAAGTCGTTTTTAAATTGAGAATTACACCCTCCGCAAATTCCAATGTGGGGGACGGTATTAACAGTATCTGTGGGCTACGGGTCGGCCAGCGTCATTTTTTTTTCTTCCTAAACTGATGCCATTGATATTGATATAAGAGGCTATGTCAGCATAAGTGTGCGAGTAGGTGAGCTCACGGGGCTCAAACCGAGAGTGTTGCTAGCACTGGCCCTTACCAAGAGCAGTGCTTCGCAGAATCTACCACCGGATCGGAAACGCGACCCACTGAGAAGATCCGGCGAGAAACTCAGTGGGCCCATCGTAATTATAATATAGAGTTAACCAGTACCACTCCAAAGTGGATTCAAGCAAAGACTTCCGCCATTATCCCATAATAATTTTGGAAACAGTCTCGATTATTCTGGACACCAGTGTAATTTACAGGTCTATAGTAGTTAAATATTAGATGTACGGATTTTTAACGTAGTGGGAAGAAACGTAATTCAAAATTCAATGCTGGTGTTTGTATTTAGGACCTTACTACAAATACGTTTAGATTTAAAATCGTCGTCACCTAAACTAAGTATAAAAACCGGGGTACTCGTATGGAGCGAAGCGACTGTGCCGGATCTTAAAGCCCACAGACACCATAACCGACTACAATAAAAGACGAATTTAATTCTAGTGTTTAAAAATGTCTGTTTCTCATGAGAAACTATTTAAATTTTACAAAGATCTGATGAGTAGTTTTGGGTTTACCTAATGGATATTTTATCGACTTCTACAACATTGATCGAAGGTAAGTGGTATTCACGTTATATTCCGTATGGACCATGGTCTTTGGTAGCGACTCAAAAAAACGGCCACAATTCATTATTTTAATATTCAATTGCTTTTAGAACGACTAAAAAGCCAAACGACATAACTTTTCAAATTTTCGTTCAATAAAATGTCTTAAGGCTTCAGTTCGAAAACTACAAAGACTACAAAGCTGAAACTGTTGTTCAGTTTTTATGATAAAAAACGTTAGGACATGAAGCGTCTTGAGAGTTCGTTGCGTCACTTGAATATATAAAATTCGAACGAATACTCAATATAAGTTCTGACAAAGACTACAAAGAACTAATATTATATTCGTGTATGTTTATCTCTATGTCTCAAAATTCTAAGCGCAAAATGTTTGTGAAATAACAATGGCCAAAGGTATTCGTGTGCCATCTGCCGCAATTTGATGTGATATATGAATTTGATGTGTGTATAGCTGAAGCATTCTTTTTTTGCGAGGAAGGATTACTATTGGCCCGGAGGCCTTTTCAGTTTCACCAGGACAGCTGGGCGAGCAGCTGTCGTCGTCGTGGCTTAAAAGATAAGACGTCCGGTGCATTCGTATGTAGCGATGCAACGGGCTTCGAATCCCGCAAGCGGGTACCAATTTTTCTAATGAAATACGTACTTAACAAATGTTCGCGATTGATTTCCACGGTGAAGGAATAATATGGTGTAATAAAAATCAAACCCGCAAAATTATAAGTTACGTAATTAGGTACCACCGCCCTGCCTATTTCTGCCGTGAAGCAGTAATGCGTTTCGGTTTGAAGGGTGGGGCAGCCGTTGTAACTATATTGAGACCTTAGAACTTATATCTGAAGGTGGATGGCGCATTTACGTTGTAGATGTCTAGGGGCTCCAGTTACCACACAGGTGGACTGTGAGCTCGTCCACCCTTCTAAGCAATAAAAAAGTCTCAGCTAGAAGGGAAGAGATTTTTTAACAGCTGCCCGGGCATCTCCGGGGAGCTAACAACTCAAGAGCATCTGCCTTGCGAATGATTCTACTACCTGATCGAAATCGTGACCCGCTGAGAAGATCCGACGAGAAACTTAGCGGACTGATGTATGGTTAGGTTAGCTAAGCCCTAATTAGGTCCCTAAGCCTGCTAGTGCTAGAGAGTGCTAAAGTGTCTAGTGCTGGGGTTATTGGATCTGTTGGACCCATCGGGACGTGTGAAGCATTATCTGAACTACTTGTGTTAATGATAAAAGAGTTCAAACCGTTCAAAATTCAAATTCAAAGTTCGTTTTTCCTTCCAAAACGTTCAAACATTGTACATCATCTACAGACGTTCATACAAACAATGCGCTTAAAAATGATTTAAAAATTAAATTCAAAAACTAAGGTTTTAAAATCTAAACTTTTTTTTATACCCATTAACATATTATATCTGAGATTCAATCAAAAAAAAAGAGTTAAGTTTATAGGTAAGACTTAGGTTTATATCACCATATGACATGTGATTTATAATATTTTAAATCGGTCTTAAGCAAACCTAAATATGTTCTCAACAATGTTATTATTACGAACGGAATCTTCTCAAAGTGTCCGCCTAAAAAGCACCCCGAAAATTCTGTTCACTAATTAGTCCAAAAATGTTTCGTAACAAAACTTTTATCATAATAAGGATGTCAACGCCCGCCCAATAAACGTATCGTTCAATAGACCGGGAACGAATGAACGAAATGACCCGAAACCGGTTTCTCAGCCGATCGGCCTGTATCTTTTACGATAAACGTTGAAAATGATTGCTCCGATGGTTTTACGACGTTTCAAATTGGAAAATAATGAAGGGAATAGCCGAATGAGTCGACTGAATGAGAACGAATGGGTCTGTAAATGTTTACGAGTGAATGTATTTTTTTTGTACTCCCTTCGGATGTCGACTTTATGTAGTCAGTTGACGTAAAGTCTTTGATTACTAGGCCATCATTTTAATAATACATAGAAAATCACTTGTTACAAATATGTTCTTCAGGCCAAATAGTAATTGTGAAGTATCATTTCACAATCAGACAATGTAAATTCTATTTTAATATAAGCTAGGATTCTGATTGAGGAGTAGCCATGACAAAATTTAAAACGGAATAGACGATGTACGAAATTATCATTCTGTTCGGCTTGTACGAGTAACGCCATCTGTCACCAAATAGTATATACAAACGGAAATCAAAATAACTGATACTATCGGGAAAACCGAGAAATGTAACGCCATCTGTTGTCGAATATCGTAAATGAATATTGGAACGACTAGTACTATTGGAGATGTTCTCGAAAATTGTAGACACGTCGTGTCGACAATAAAAGCGGTGCAGAGACGACATGAAGGTAGTTAGTAATCAGTTCTACTCGAAGTGAAATAGTGAACGGGTCATCTGAGGGGAAGCGAAGCGAAAGTGAATTATGACATTGAATTCTACCTTGAGCGTGGTAACAATTGAATTGGGTTTTCATTTATATTTCGGTGAAATTTATTATTTATCCCGAGACGCAGCGTGTCTAATTCGACAACAAATCCCGCAATTCCAGAAACATTTGCGTTCTGTCTGTCTGCTTTTTGGTAGTTTTACATGAGCACTCATTAAAAATAATTGTGTTCTCTCTCAATGCTTACTCTGCGCGAAATTCGAATTTACTTTACGAATGTGAACTTTATTTTAATAACGTAATATCTCGTGAGTCAAAACACATTACATTTTGAATTAGCATGATATATAATGAAATAATCTAATCACACTTTTTAATCGATCAGATGAGCAAACCGTTTAGGTGATGCTAGTTCATGTTGATGTTTTTTTTCCTTCCTATTCTAGTAACCTCGAGGGGTTATTCTAGATTCACCGAACTAGTAGGTGAGCTCGCGGTGCTCAAAACTTACGTTGTTGCTAACACGAACCCTAGCAAGAGCCGTGCTTCGCAAAATCTACCATCGGATTGGAATCGCGACCCACTGAGAAGATCCGGCGAGAAACTAAGTGGGCTGTGTCTATGGGTAAATTTACTCGTCGAACCCCTCGTCGCAAGCAACGGGTTCAGCGAGAACGATGACCGGAGTTGGTGTAATTACGCTATATTAAGTTCACACAGGTTTTTAGAAAAGATGGCGCTTGGGCCAAAAGGTCCTCGTGTGACGACCGCGCATTGGAAGACGCAGTCTGCCTACGAGATGGATCGACGACTTGCCTGAAGGTCACAGGAATTTGTTAATTAGAGGGAACGCAGTAGTGGCCGTTATGGCCAAACTTAGATAAGATTTCTAGAATTGGACATCTTGAATTGGAATTGGCCATTTTGAAAAGGCGGCACGACATGATAACCCTCTTGTCGTGGCCGCTGGAAACTACATACCCGACCCTGTAGACCGAATGATAAACCGTCGACGTCGCCCAAAGCACGTCATTACGGATCCTCCTGATCCATTAACGGTGCTTTTAGGCACCACAAGCACCGGTCACCGTCCTCATCGAATCCGTCGCTTGCGACGAAGGACTCGACGAGCGAATTAACCCATAGACACAGCTCACTGAGTTTCTCGCCGGATCTTCTTAATGAGTCGCGTTTCCGATCCGGTGGTAGATTCTGCGAAGCACTGCTCTTGCTAGGGCCAGTGTTAGGAACACTCCCGGTTAGAACCCCGTGAGCTCACCTACACGTCAA